TCTAAAACAGAATAAGAATACGGCGACTGCAATGAGCTATTACTCTGGGGTCTCTGACCGGCCCTCGGAGCGGTCGAGATGGACCCCTCTCACGAGAATGTTGCTTTCGGGCGAGATGACGCAGGAGAAACAGCAGGACCTATCGACGAGAGAAAAGTTTGATCGCTGGATGATTAATGAAGGTTACAGACGAGTGTACGTATGCCCGGAAAGATTGGTGCACAAGGAGAGAGGGAGAAAAGGGGCGTCGATGTAGAACATATAAAGGCAGTGGTGACGGCCAACGTGAGATTTTGCTGACATGTATTACCAGATTTGTCTTTGTCTTCATGCTCACGCACGCCCTCATATTCGCATTCGCCTCGGTTCACTACTCCATGAAGGACAGCTTGCAAGGTGCCAGAGATATTTTCGGCTTTACATTTGTCATTGCGCGTGCGTCTGCGGTTGTTTTACACGTCGACGTCGGCATCATCCTCTTTCCGGTTTGCCGAACACTGATCTCGCTCATGCGCCAGACTCCTCTCAACGGAATTATTCAGTTCGACAAGAATATTACATTTCACATTACGACGGCGTGGTCCATCGTCTTCTTTTCATGGGTTCACACGATAGCCCACTGGAACAACTTTGCCCAGGTTGCGGCCAAGAACAAGCTAGGCTTATACGGATGGCTTTTGGCCAACTTCGCCTCTGGACCTGGCTGGACAGGCTACGTGATGCTTATCGCGCTGATGGGCATGGTTATTACGTCTGTGGAGAAGCCACGGAGAGCAAACTATGAGCGTTTCTGGTATACTCACCACATGTTCATCCTCTTTTTCTTCTTCTGGTCCCTGCACGGTGCGTTCTGCATGATTCAACCAGATGTGGCCCCTTTCTGCACCAACATTGGCGCCTCGGCTATTGGTGTGTTCTGGCAATATTGGATGTACTCCGGCTTCGTCTACTTGGCGGAGCGGATTGCTCGCGAGGTACGCGGTCGACACAAGACGTACATTTCAAAAGTCATACAGCACCCGAGTCAAGTGTGTGAGATCCAAATCAAGAAACAAAACACAAAAACTCGCGCTGGCCAGTACATCTTCTTCTGCTGTCCTGCTGTGTCGCTGTGGCAATATCACCCGTTCACGCTCACCAGTGCTCCCGAGGAAGATTACATTTCGATTCATATGAGATGCCAGGGTGACTTCACGATGGCTGTCTCCAAAGCCCTTGGCTGTGAATGGGGCAAGAAGGCAGACACGAGCAAGGTTGTTGGCGTTGATAGAGACCAAAACGGTGTCAACCCTGTGCTGCAAAGAATCTTGCCGCGAGTCTACATTGATGGACCCTTTGGATCAGCCTCGGAGGATGTTTTCAAATACGAAGTGTCTATCCTCGTTGGTGCCGGTATCGGCGTCACTCCTTTTGCTTCTATCCTCAAGTCAATCTGGTACCGAATGAACTACCCACAGAAGAAGACTCGTTTATCCAAGGTATACTTCTTCTGGATTTGCCGTGACTTTGGCTCGTTTGAGTGGTTTCGGTCACTGCTTTTGGCGGTTGAAGCCCAAGATCTTGAACACCGCATTGAAATCCACACATATTTGACAGCCAAGATCAAGGCAGACGATGCCACAAACATCATGATTAATGACGCCAACGCCGACAAGGACACCATCACAGGTCTGAGGAGTCCAACCAACTTTGGGCGACCAAACTGGGACATGATCTTCCGCGGCATCAGGAAATTGCACAGTCCCGGCGAAGCTGGTGTCTTTTTCTGTGGTCCCAAGGGTCTGGGCAGTTCCCTGCACGTATACTGCAACAAGTATACCGAGCCAGGGTATGTTAAACCCTCCCTCAACATTACAAAAAATGTGCTATGCTAACTCACGTCTAGGTTCTCATTTGTCTGGGGCAAAGAAAATTTCTAGGGGCGACATCAAGTATTCGTTTCGTGTTTATACCCGCATATCTGCAAGCTAATGGCATTCGCCTTCCTTGAAGCCTTCGATTCTTCTTGGTTTATTATTTTCAAAATTGCATCATGGGATATATTGGGGAGGGTTGTATAGACTTTATTACTTCTTTTTTTTGAGACTACGGAGTACGTTGGCTGCAGTTGTGCCTGCGACGCCGGACGCCGGGCGCCGACAGCATAGGAGGGCGATAGAAGAGGACGATTGGAGAGAGATAGACGGCGGAATTCGATGTGGAGGAAGGAATTCAGGTTTAGTAATACTGAGCGAAAGGGTGCAGTCTAGGCGGCCTTGATATATTCGGGGCAATGTTGGTGGTGGCTGTAGACAGAATATGACACTATTCAATATGACTTGACGTTTCAAATTTAGATGCTGTGGCGGCCGTTGAAGTATATACTTAATGTAACGTTGATTTCGCAGGGCGTGGCGTCCCGCTGATCTCAAGCTAGCAATACGTCTGGTAGCTCTTGGCTCGGATCACTGATGAGATGGGCACCTGGGATGGTCAGTCACCAATTAAGCCGGCGCGTCGAAAACGCTTTACGGGATCGAGGCAGTTAAATGATGTAATTGTCGAGGTCAATGAACTGCCCTAGGTCAAGGCTAGGGTAGGCTAGGTTTCTGCCAAAGCGCAGCACAAAACCAGGGTCCAGCTGGGCTAGTACGTAGTGTTCATACGAACTGTAGCGACCCGTTGCGCAACATGGTTCGGTGTAGTAGTGTCTGCAATACGTTGTTGTGGTTGGCAGGGGTTCATGGCGTCAAGGCTGAGGCAGTGCAATCTGACGCCATGGTTAAGAATAGAAGTCGACTTTATGCAGGTTCAAGAACGCAGAATTTCGTGGCGGGTGTTTTTGCTTTATGGAGGGTGTTTAACTTCTGGCGTTCTCATGGCTGGATTCCGGAATAATGTCGACATGAAATTGGTGCCGAGTCCTGTGTCGCGGCTCGGGTGAGATGAGCATCGAGGGCCGAGGACAATGGTTTGTGTTGGGTTCGCCACAATTATGGTTCGGCACACGTGGAGATGGACGGGCGGAACACGGGGACCACGTCGGCGGTATGGTTTTTTTTTTTTTTTCCCCAAGTACTCGAGGCTACTGTAGCTAGTCTTGTGTTTTTAAAGGGCATCTGAAGTCTATACGCAAGTTTCTCATGTACGATGTTACATGTACCTGGGGCGCGGCCAGATTTAGCTCTGTGTTTAGGTGTTGGGATCGACGCCAATCACGCACCGGTTGGCGCTTGGGCTCAACTGGGCATGTCCGTCAGGTGCACCGACGCCCCCTCCCTCTGCCCTCCTGCCTTGTCGAACGTCCCGACGTCCAACTGCCACCAGCTGCTGCGGGCGGAATTCAAAACCTCGTATTGGCAGGCTCCTGGGCCATGGCTGCCTGCGCCACAGCAAAAGGGGGGGGAGAGCCTGGCTCCGCTACAACAGAAGAGTGAGCGTGGTTCGCGATGGCATGTTTTGGCCATGATGGCATCAGGGTTTTGACGCATTCTTGCGCGTGCCAGCGCCATTGCCTTGTCCGAGGTGGCATCACATCCATCACCATCTTTTGCGCTTTTGCATGTCTGACAGATGCGAGTGTTCCGTGCTTGTGGCGGTGGTGACACTATCATCTGGTGGCAGACCGTTGATTGCTACTGAGTACTCCGTACGGAGGACGTTTTTGTTATTTTTCACAGAGACACCGGTAAACGCGGTGAGACATTTAGTGGAGGGCTCTGGTACTTTGTACTGTTGTGCTGCATGTGCTCTGGACAATCGTGATTTCAGTGATGCAGCCGCTTCAAAGAACACGTAAGTCTTCGTTTGTATCTGAGTGCTTTATTTTTCTTCCTTTTCTCCCTTTGCTTGGTTTCTTCTCCTTCCTCATTTCTTTGCTTTGTAGGGGTTGTTTTTTTCTTTCCGATGGACACACAGACGTCGGGACAAGTGGAGATGGCGCGTGTAACTGCCATTACAGAGACAATTAGACGAGGCAGGACAAAGTACAAGAGACCTTTGGCATTGGAACAGTGGCGTTCTGCCTGGACGTTGCTACTGACATACTCTTTGTAATGGTTACTTAAGGCGGCATACTGGTAACCGTGGTGTCTTCGTACCGGGTACACAGTTGGCGACGGAGTGCAGCGATTCCATTGGCTGCGCTTGACTGCGGTGCCATTCACTTGGGTCCACGGTACTTGTGAATACTCCGGAGCCACGGGTTCCCGTAGATCAATACTAGTGAATGCTGCGAGTGCCTGTGGCTCGCGCCTAGCGTCTGCTGGTCTCCGGTGCGCCCGTCCCACCAACGGAACCGCCTGTACGCAGTCAAGTGCCCTTAGTGCCAGCAGCAGGACGCTGCAAGTTGGTGTGTCCGCCGCCTGGCCCTTTGTCATTTTGGCACCAGTTGACAGTTGTCTCTCCACTCCGAGTGAGTAGCAAGCAACTCCGCAGGCCAGTTCCTCCTCTGTTCGGTCGGCTTCGTCATCCTTTTCCTTCCCATCTTTACGTTACCATCCTTCCTTATTACCCTCTTGATCCCTCCCTCTCGTTTAGTACTCCAACTATTGTCCATTCGGCATCTGCGTCTTCTCTCTCTTTTTTCCTTGCCTTAATTTATAGTTCTGCCGGTCTCGCCATAGCCGGTTTTTCCCATCCGTGTTTTTTATTTATTTATGTTTTTTGCCAATCGGGCTGAGCTGCAATTGACTACCCACGGTCCACCATCATTCGCGAAGGCCCCTTTCCTCTTGCCACCAGAATTCGCCGCGACATCCAGCATATCGAACAAGTCGATTGTGGGCGACATACGTAGACGAGATAATCCATTATCGCTCGTGTTTCACTCCTTATTTGTTTGAGAGTGACTATTGTCGAACCGATTCAAATATCCACGACCTTCGAACGGTTGTTCTCCCGACGCTGACGGTTCTGGCTTTGAGCCCATAACCTTTTGCTTAGCGTCGAACCGGATTGCTCTCCCGCACGCAGTGCTATTCTCTCATTGTTTTTGAGCGGCATCGAATAAATTTCTCGGCATGCGTCTCTCATGGGGACTCGTCCTGGGTCTGGGCCTCGGCGCCAGCGCAGGTCGAATTGCTCCTCGCCAGAATGACGCGAGTACTACTGGACCATCTCCGGCAGCATCGTCAATAGGCGGCGGTAGTGAACCAACCACCCCCCCAAGCACCAGCAGCAGCAGTAGTAGCAGCAGCAGCAGTATCAGCACCCCCTCCTCTTCAGCTGGGGGCGGTGACACCACTGTTTTTGTAACTGCTACTGTTACCAGTGCAGGCGGTGGCAGCACTGTCAGCGAGACGACTACTGTTACTGCTAGTTCTGTCACAACCGTTACCATCACGACGACGGACATTGCTACTACGACCATCACTATGACCGATGGTGAAACCTCTACCAGGACGGTCTTTGTTACATCTACGCAAACTGTCAACATGAAGCGCCGCAGCGTAGGGAACGTTTTGCAATTTAACGGCAATGGACCTGCTCATGTTGACGCCCAGCCTACTGCTGCTACCACTGCTACTGGCATACCGAGCAGAGACCTGAGTCCGGAGAGAATTGGAATCGAGAAGCGTGCTGTCGTCACTTCTACAGTTACCGTGACTGTCGGTGGTGGAGGTAGCGCTACAACTGTTACCCAGACCGTCACTAAGAATGTCAGGTCTACCACGACTACCGTTGTTCATACGACATCCTTGGTTACTGAGACCTTCCAAGCCAACGCTAAGACGACCGTCACAGTAACCAGCACTATTGTCACCAAACTTACTGTTGTCTCTACTGGTGTTGTTGAGTCAACTTCTACCCCTACCAACAGCCCAAATCCCCCCAACAACGACGACAATAATGGCGGACTCTCCACGGGTGCCAAAGCCGGTATTGGTGTCGGAGCTGGTGTCGCTGGCCTGGCCATCATCGGCGCTCTTCTATGGTTCTTCACCAGACGTCGCCGTAGTCCCAAGCCTGATCCAGATGATTTGCTTGGACCTTCCTCTGAGGTTCCCGTTGGCGCTGGCGGCTCACGCCCCATGTCTGAAGGATTGGCGTCTACCCCAGGTTCTGTCCCTCGCCGAAGTCCAGTTCTGCCCAATGTTCAGCCCGAGGGTTATCGTGGAACAGCCAAGGGAGATGGCCGTGCCGGATACGCCAAACCTGAACCGTACGGCGCGGCATATGCCCCTACCCGATCCACCACTAACAGCTCATACCCCCCTCGGAGCGGCACTCTGTCTCCTGGCGACCAACTGCCACGACATCCCACCCCTGATACAACAACGGTGGCTTCAGTAAGCCCTCTCTCAGCCAGACCACAAACAGCTGAACTGGGCAACGATGGAGCTGGTGCTAGATGGCACACGAGTGAGGCTGCCGAGATGGCCTCGGACAATCCGGCCGCCGCCAAGTGGCACAGTGATAACGCCCATGAGATTGACAGCCATGCTGTCATGAGCCACCAGAGCGGGCCTGTGTATGAGATGCCAACGGAACACTTCAAATAGATGCCCCACAAATGAATGTTTGAAATCAAAAATTGTACGGAATCTTGAGGCTTCGGAAATCTTTCCCAAGGACACAGACATACCTGGGCATGCATAGAAGAAAGCCATGGATTAAGTGTGACATAGGCAAAGCATGATGGCATATACTCTGGGACGAAATGAGAAGACGCATCGCGACAGGTGGAAAGAGAATTAGCAGGGGGCGAGTGTGTCGAATAATATTGTAGTCTTTGTATATATAACTTTTGCGCAGTACTCCCAAACATGAGGTATCGAAAGGTACCAGTCGATTACCCAAGTGGATTGTTCCAGAAGCGTGGACGAGAATGAGTCGGGGGGCTGTATATCGAGGCATGAGTGATTGGACAGCGTGAGCTGTATTGGTTTAAAAAATTGTCTAGTTCATCGGCTCCAGGAAGCCTTGTGATAATGGATGTGGCGTGTTGTCCATCTGGTCCATTCGGCCGATAAACTCCGGTATCGGGTGGGGGCAATGGATAATTTTCTGACTCCAAGGCCGCATTGCATGACTTTTATCCCCGTGCGGAATGAGAAATGTGTGCAGCAGTTTTCGTCGTATTGTCTCGGGATGGCACACACGGCTTAGGACACACAGCTCTCTGCGACGCAGGCCATTGATCACACGAAACGTATCAGTTGTGCCAGTCGGCTGTGAGCCTGTGACTGAGCAAACGCCGGCCGCCAAAGGTCGCAAACCTTGTGCACAATTGCCTCATTGCGCAACGACAGACTGCCAAGCTGACCGAGATGGGATTGCCTGAAGAGCGTTCCGGCAACGAAAGTTCCAGCGACGGTGCGCCTCTCGGCGGGAGGGCCACGATGGAAGATTTGGCCAGCGCGAGTCGGGGTGTCGATGAGAGGAAGCTGGTCCGCAAGCTGGACTTGTATCTCATCCCGCTCATCATGGGTATTTACCTATTCAGTTTCGTGGACAGGTTTGTCCCTTGCCCCCATTTCCCCTTCTCCAACGGGCTCCTCTGGTGGCTAAGCAAAAAACAAACAGAGTCAACCTTGGCAACGCTCGCCTCTACGGGCTCGAGGAGGACCTGGGCCTCAGCACGTCGCAGTTCCAGGTGGCCGTATCCATCTTCTTCGTGACGTACATGGTGTTCGAGGTGCCGTCGAACCTGGTGCTCAAGCTCTTCACGCCGCGGCGCTGGATCGCCTTCATCACGGTGTCGTGGGGGCTCGTCGCGACGCTCATGGGCCTCGTCACGTCCTACGGCAGCCTGCTGGCGTGCCGGCTGCTCCTGGGCGCCTTGGAGGCGGGCCTCTTCCCCGGGCTCAACATCTACCTGACCTTCTTCTACACGAGGAACGAGCTCGCCCTGCGCGTGGGGTACCTGTTTGTCAGTGCGGCGGCGGCGGGCGCGCTGGGCGGCCTGCTCGCCTACGGCATCGGGCACATGGACGGCGTGCAGGGCCTCGGCGGGTGGCGGTGGATCCTGATCATCGAGGGCATCCCGAGCGTCGTCCTGGGCGTGGTGACGTACTTTGCGCTGCCGAACGATGCCGAGACGGCGTGGTTCCTGGACGACGCTGAGAAGGCGCTCATGGAGGTCAGGAGGAGGAGGGAGTATGGGAGCACCAAGGGCAGCGGCGGCATCGAGAAGAGGGATGTGCTGAGGGCCGTGACGGACTGGAAGGCCTGGGCTTTTTACGTTGCGCAGTTTGGGGTTGATACTATGCTTTATGGTGAGATTTCTTGCCCCCTGCCCCTTTCCCAGCGCCCCCCCTTCTTTTTTTGGCCCAGCTTGTTTTTGATTGTCATTTTTATCTTCTCCTCAGTCACTGTTTGGCATTCCGGCTTTGCTAATGCGTAGTCCAGGCTTTTCTACCTTCTTGCCGACAATCATCCAGGCGCTGGGGACGTGGACGACGGCGCAGGTCCAACTCCTTACTATACCGTGTTACTTTCTCGGCGCGGCGGCTTACATGGGCACGGCATTCTTGTCGGACCGTATGCAGATGAGGGGTCTATTTTGTGTCATTTTCGGCTCCATCAGCGTGGTCGGCTACGGAGTGCTGCTGGCGGACGTGGCGACTAGTGTGCATTATTTTGCGTGTTTCCTGGTAGCAGGCGGGCTATACGTTGTTGTTGGGCTACCATTGGCATGGGTTAGTTTTTTTCTGTTTCTTTTTTTCCCCGTCGGCCTCGCGGACATCTGGCTGAGAAGTATGCTGACGACTTAGTTGCCAAACAACTCGCCGCGGTACGGCAAGAGAGCAACGTCGACGGGATTGCAGCTTACTTTTGGCAATGCCGCCGGCGTCATGTCGGCTTTTATTTAGTAAGTCTCTGGCTGCTTAGCAAACCCTTTCAACGCGTATTTATTTGGTATTATCCTTTTGGGATGTTGGCGAGCGTGGTCATGTTGACGTTTTCCAAGCCCCAAGCCCGATGCCCCGAGATATATTCGCGGCCATGCTGTCTGCCTGAGCATGGTGGGCATGGGCACGGCGATTTACGGGTTTCTGTGGTTTTGGTACTGGAGGCAGAATAGGAGGCGGGAGGCCGGTGTGATGGAGGAGAAGTTTAGGGATATGGAGGAGGAGGAGTTGATGGAGCTGGGGGATGATAGCCCGCGGTTTAGGTATATGATATGATGGGGCTATTTGGTGTTGGTGATGAAGGACGGGATTCTCCCACTCTTTTGGCGGCTATAGAGGTCGCCTACTGGTGAGTATTGCGATGGATGCCCAGTGGTGTATATTCGCTCGAGTGGCATTTGCGTAATCGATAACCCGGCACGGATAGTTCACCGGCACATTTTACTCTGGCAGGAAAACCAATAAATGCGCGACACTCATCTCCCCAAATTGAGATGGCTACGGGACACGCATGGCTGGCATCCGATAGATGGCAACGTCGATTGCCACCTCAACACGGACAAAGCCATAAATTGGAACCCCCATACCGAAGGCTATCTGCGGCTCGAGAATCCATCTCAATCTATTTCCCGGCCCAAAGCTCTCCTGCGCCCTGGAGTCGAACCCGACCAGACCAGACCAGCCACGCAAGCCCACGCGCTCAGGAATTGATTGACAACAAAAACCACATGGCCAGCCACAGCAAAGGGGCAAGGGGGAAAGGACCAAAGCGGCCTTGGCACAAAATTGCCAGCTGCCGCCCGGAATTGGCACCAATTGTCTCTCTCTTGGAGCGTGGTATGTGGAGATGTCAAGGGAGGGAGAAGCAGACGCCACAACATAGTATTGCCCTCGGCGTGCCAGTCGTGGGTGAAGCAGACACGTAGAGAGCTTCTGCACCGAATAGTCGGTCTTTGACTGGACGAGGGCGCCGCGATTCGACGAGTATTGCATACCGTTTGCAGCCCGTCGGCGAGCGCAGAAAGTGGTATAGATATAAGGAGTTGACGGTTCTTGCGAAGATGCCTCCATTTGTACAGCCCAAGTCGAACTGACACACTCTGTTTTCTCCTTGTTCTCGATACGAAAAAAAAAAGTCTCAAACATTGGTGAATTGAGATATCTCGCCGGTTTTCTTTTTCCCATGCAGGAAGCGCTCACCCCCGGCTTCCTTCAGTTCTCCCACGCGGCCCCCAAACAGACACCGAATAGACTCATCATGGCGGGAAAAATGGCCAACCTGTTCGCCCTGCTGATTAGCCTGGTTGGGCTGGCGCTGGCACAGACGCAGACGCAGACGCAGATGCAGACACAAACACAAACACAGACGACGGCGGTTGACGCAGCCGGAACCATGGGCATGACGTCGACCGTCGCCATGACAGAGGCGACGACTACGGCAAGGGCATCCGCGTGGGAGAAGACGGCCGGACCGGTGATTACAAAGGCGGGCGGCAATTCTACGACGAGTTCGCGGTACACGAGGGAGCGGACGGGCCGGCCGACGACGACGATCCCCAACCCGCTGATGCACAATGCCGGGCGGAGGCCGTCGCAGCCGGGGCTGGGCAAGCTCTCCGTGGTGGTTGGGCTGGCTACGTACGGGCTGATCCTGATGTGAGGCCGCGGCTGGCGAGGAGGGCGTGAAAGGCTGGCTCTTTCGTGGCCCTGCGCAAGGGGGAGGGAGGAAGTGTGAGGTGAAGTGAAGTGAAGCCATCGTGGGCGGCGGACGCGGCAGCGGCAGCGGCTTGTAAATTTCAGCGAAATGGTTGGTTCATGGGGCACTATGCCGTTTTATTTATTCAAAAGGACCAGCATCCGTCATGTTTGTGTGCCTTGAACCGCGTCGGAACCGGTGACGGTGATTCGTAGACGGATACGACCAAGGGAGAGAGAGAGAGAGACAAGCCACATCCATGTATGCAAACGGCTCCCCGAAAATCGTCGCTTGTCGACCTGTCGCCTTTGTCGGAGTTTGTCGTACAACCCGCGCAAAATAAGCTGCTGTTACACGAGGCAAGAATAAATAATAATAGTAATAAAAAATGGCCGATTATCGGCGGAGTGATTCCCATCTTTTTCGTCGGAAATCACAAATTACGCATGGGCATGTCGATATGCAACCAGGGCCCTCCATCCCTCCATTCCTCCATCCCCCGACAAAGATCGCACTGCTTACTGCCTCGGTAGGCCCTCTGTTTTTCGGGGTTGTACCGCTGTCTTTGGAGAGGTTCAACCTCTTGGGAACAAGACTCGTGATGATGCGCGGCCGACACGCTTCGGCGCTGCCTTTGATGGCGCTCCACTGGATACTGGTTGACGGGTGTGGCCGATGGCACTTTGGATCTTTGCAAGAGAAAGCATAAAAAGACATGCGTAGTTCCAAGCTTGGGTGCTTGCCATTGACGCTGTCTGTCTTGCTTGCTTCTTCACGATACCGAAAAACCCCCCATCTCACCACCAGGCGTGACCACTGACGAGAATAATAACCCCTACACAAAGACGTAAAAAAACACCGCCATGGCCCCGGTAGTACACGTCGTCCTCTTCCAGTTCAAGGACGGCCAGACGCCAGACCAGCGCCGCGATGTGAGTGCGTTCCTTTCCTTTCCCAAGGCCCCCTATCGAGACGCTGTTCCTCGCTGACCGCCAACCCTCGCTTCTTCCTCCAGCTCTGCGACAAGATGCTCGGCCTGAGGAGCAAGTGCCTCCATCCCGCCTCCAAGAGGCCCTACATCAAGTCGTCCATGGGCGGCCTGGACAGGAGCATCGAGGGCTGCCAGGTAAGACGCGCCCGCGCATTGCATTTCCCAGGTCCTTGTGCTGAAACGAGCTCGGCAGCACGGCTCTACGCACGCCTTTGTCGTCGAGTTTGAGAGCGAGCAGGACCGCGACTACTACGTCAACGAGGATCCGGCGCAGGCCAGTTTCGTGCTCGAGGTGCTGCAGAAGCTGGACAAGGCGACTATTCTCGACTTTTCGCCGGGCGTATTTTGAGCGACGCCGTCTGGACTCTGGCGGGTATGGGCAAAAAATCAGTGCAGGGTTTTGTTTTGTTTCGCATGGAGAGATGACATTTGGGATTGATGAGGCGGCATGGTTGGCGGGTTGGGCGGAATCGTGATATTTGAATTGTGGCGCCAACGGCTCGGCTGTTTTTTCCCTCTTTGTGTTTCTTTTGTTGTCAATGGGACTTGCACGGCGTGACGACGGCAATATATGGACTGGACTGGGTTTATGATAGACGCATCAAGTTGGTTTTTTTCACGGGTTATACCACGGCTAGTCTTGACCACAAGCTGCTTCACGACGCTTATTTTGTGACTCTCTGTGCATCTTAAACGGACTGGCTACATGTTTCTGTGGCTCGTTCATATGCCGGCTGCCACGGTTCTCGGAGAATATCGAGCGAGTCGCAAGAAAACACGAAGCCCAGACGTCCGCCGAGGCTGCACACCACGTACCTAACCCAATCATCTCTACATGGAACATATATTGTACTGTACACAGCTAACCGCTGAGGCCAACTCATTGTGTGGCGTATAATCGTATACATGAAGTCCTCCCGTTGTTGTTGTTGTTACATGGACACACAAAAAAAAAAGAAAAGCGTCCTCCCCGCATCGCTCCCATGCAATCAACTAGGCACTACCTCGCCTTTTTCCTCTCCAACATATCCTGGATATCCTCCTTCCCCGTGCCCTTCGCCCCGGCACCCCCATCCGGCGCAAACGTCGTCGACACCTCCATCTCCTGCGCGCCCTGCTTCCTCAGCTCCTCCAGCCGCCTCTTCTTCTGGATATCCGCCACCCGCCACTGCTTGAAGTACTTGACCCAGGCGGCTGCGCAGTCGCGCTCGAAATCGTCGCTCTGGCGGGGACACGCGCGCCTCGCGGCGGCGGCGTCCTTGTTGGCGTCGAGGATGTCGTGGGCGTCGAGGCAGGCAAAGTATGCGTCGCGGGCGGCCCAGCACACCGCGCGCTCCTGGCGCGTGGGTATGGCCGTGCCGGAGCGGATCTCGTCGCCGCGCGAGGATGACGAGAACGGCCACCAGCTCATTGTGATGCCGGACGGGTACGCGGGTGGTTTGTGTTGTATGGAGTGGTGGCGGCGGAGCCGAGGAGGTGGTTGGTGATTGTGCGGGATGTGCGCCTCTGTATCAGACGTGCTCGGTCATCGGCGTCCGATGGAGTCGAATTGGTTCTTGAAAGGAGAGAGCTGGCGGATGCAGACTTTTGGCCGGCAAAATATTGGGCGTGTGGATGATGTACTCCGTAACTGCGTATTTGCTCGTGATATGTGACTGACTGGTGGAGCTTTGCCATCGGAAGCTTTCAAAAGCTACGGCGAGCAAGTGGCAGAATCCCGGGCGGTGAGCCAACAACATCTGCCAGCCACTCTTCAACGGCCCACTGTAGGCACCGAGTTGAGTGCAGCCAAACCACATGGCTTGAACACCATCACAACCCTCAACAATGTCGACGTCCTCAGGTGACTGTCCCGCCTTCTGCCACGTCTAGATTTCGTTCTTCTTTTATTCCGGAGCGCACACACGCAACATACATTTCGTCCTTCTACTACAGTCACCTGGATTTTGCCATCCTTTACCCCCACGACTGTGCATTCCAGGCCAAGGCAACCACATCGCGTCGCCTACACAAGCATCAGCGCCGGCGCTCTCACGTTCCTCCCGTCTCACCACCGCCAACTCTTCGGCTCACGCCTGATCCTACATATATCCCACCCACATCGACGGGGGCGCGCACCCTTCACCACGGCCACATCCCACCATGGCTCGGCGAAGAAAGCCCCCACGAGCCGGCGCATTATCTGAGCTCCAGCCGCTCAAGATTGCCACGCAAATAGCCACCCTCCAAGCACTCTACTACACGACAGCCGGCATCCTCATGCTCTTCACCGCCCTAGTCGCAGGCATGAGCTTCAGCGTCGACATGATACTAGGATGGGACGCCGTGCGCGGCGACACAACCCAGGGCTGGCTGCTGTCCTTCATCTGGCTGATTGACGGCGGCCTCTGCATGTACGCGAACCCGCCACTTTGCGAGTGCAAACTCGTGCCTCTCACAAGAGTTCACTAACCCGCAGTTTTAGGGCCGTCGCCATCGTCGTCCTCATCGCGAGGAGCAAGCTCGTGCCCGACTTCGCCCTGACCATCCACCTCCTGCACCTCGTCTTCACGACCTTGTACGCGCGCTCCCTCCCCAGACACTCCATGTGGTGGATGACCATGATGGCATCCGCCGCCGTTGCCGTCGCCCTCGGCATGTGGGGCTGCCGCTACCGCGAGCTGCAGCCCGTCTTCTTTGGCGGCGGTCGAATCCTCGGCTCAAACTCCGCGCCGGCCGCGGCGTCCCACGGCCAGGTTGCTGCCGAGGAGGGCCAGGCCGGTCTGGACGACGACGACAACGACGACGGCCGCGGCGGCGCCGAGGACGACGGCTTCTCGCGCGGCAGGGGGAGAGGCCGTGGCAAGGACGGGGCCGGCGAGTATGAAATGGTGGGCATGAAGCAAGCAAAGGACTGAGCCGCCGAGGAATTCTACCGCCGTGGCTGCCCAACTTGTGTTTTTCATCTTGGAATAGCGTGCATTGCTCGGCGTTTGGATTGTCCCATAATACCAGTGTTTTTATAAACCAAGAAAAAAAAAGAGCCAAGAGCTGGGGATATGGGCATCGTGGGTTTTTTTTTTTAACATCCCACCTTTTTTGATGTGAGACGACGCAAGCGGACCCATCATCTATAGAAATAATATCAGATACAAATGTCATTATTACTTCTGTTCCTTCCAGGTAACCGCTTCATAAATCCCTCTTGTGTCTGTCTATGCCATCATATCTACTACGTGAGCAGCTGCACACCACGTCTTCGATCCCCCTGATATAAAATACACGCTTCCGCCCCTGGCTGCCGGATTGTACAAAATTCCCATTCGTGCCTTATGCCCCCGCCACAACAGCCAGGTTATCATAGATGGCCCTCTTGACTTCATACAGCGTATTCCTCCTTCCCACAACTGGCAATCCCACGCTCTCCACCTCGATTCTCCCTTCTGCGGTCTTGCGTACAGACACTGACCCGTCGATAACGAGGATACCTTCTCCTCTGAACTCGGCTCCGTGCCCGGACCCCTGCATAGCCCTTCGCAAGTCGGCAAGCCGTAAATCTCCTACGTGCAGAGGCTGCGCGGCCGTCCTGGCAGCCGACACGAGATTTGAAGGGATGACGTCGAGGACAGGCAGGACGCCTGAAGAGTTTGTGAGAGCCGTGGACGTGAGGGCCACGGCGGTGGAAGGTTCCGTCTTTTGACGCTTATTGGAGGAGTCTTCATCACTGGGATCAGTAGCCTCGGCCGTGGTATTGGTCGCGAGGAGCTGCCCGCTGATAGTGACGATGGATAGGCCCCGTACGTTCTGCCACTTGAGTTTCTTGACGAGGGGGTCCGCGAGCTTCACGACCCAGGCGTTGGTGTCGACGCTTGCGTCAACCCAGACGCCGACCGAAGGGGTGAAGACGTCGACGGCTTTATCACCGTCCATGCCGAGGGCGGCGCGGCAGTCTTCCGCGAGACTCATAGTCTCTTCATGGTTGCCGCCGACGAGGATGAGTTTGCGGGGTTGGATGAGGGGGATGAGCATGTCTAAACTTCGGCGGTCGTGGAGGCCGCTGAAATCGACGAAGCCGATGCGCAGCTTGGCCTGGATCGTTTCAGTGGTATAAACCAGCTTGCAGGGACCCGTCGGCTCTTCGGGTTCTGTGTCTTCTACATCGTCTAGATCGTCGGCTGCATGGCCGTCTGCGCTGATGCCGTCATCACCATCTTCAGCAACACCCTTGCCAGGCTGAGGTCGCTTATTGGGGCCGTTTGCGCCTTTGATGACATCATCCCACTTTCTCTTCTTGCCTAGCTTGTCGTCGTCCAAAGCCAGATGACTGCCATCGGCATTGTCTTCATCCTTCTCCTCAGCTCGGAGATAGTCTTCGGGTCGAATCAATTCGCCAAAATCGTCATTTCTCTTTCTCCGAATGGCTACTGGGAAGCATCGCTCTCTACCCTTCTTGCCACGCGAGTCAAAATCGTAGACGTCCTTACGCTTGATGAGAATATTGATGCCCAGGTCTTCATCCTTGAGAATAACATTCTTTCGGCCTGCTTGGCCCATGGTGGCTGAGACCGTCAGTGCCTTCCCTTGTTGCTGACCATCTTCATCTTCAGAGTCTGAAGATGACTCTGAAGAGGCGTCATCGACAACATCAGTTGGGCCGTCAAGAGACCCAGCAGTGCCTGTCTGCTGGGTTGCTTGAAGCTGCCGTTGGGTAGCCAGCCATTGTTGATACACGGCAAGTTCGTCGCCTTCAAGCGCTTGCCGGGAGGCCTCGCGAATCTCCAGCTCTCGGCCACCTGCTTGGACTGTTTCGATATTGTCGCCGGTGCTAGTCTGCTCCACAGACACTCCGTCCTTTCTCTCCCTCCACCATTCCCATAGAGTTCTCGCTATTGAGGGCCTATCATCCTTGGCAATGGTCGGCCTATCCGTCAGTATGACAAGATTGTTTGGGTCCTTGGCAAGCCCCTTCAAAACGTCCTTGGAGAAACCCCACTCCATGCTCGTATCGCTTGCAAGAATCACCCGTCCCTTTGCTACCTCACCTTGGGCAGAGGCCACCTGGTCCAGAAGCTTTGAAACCTGTGCCTTTCTCTCCAGGAGTCGAAGATATTTGAAGTCAAATGGTCCGCCTTCTTTTTTTTCAACAGCTCCATTCGCCTTCCGTTGACCCTCGGCAAAAGCTTCGAATTCCTGAACGATGTTATCGTCCATCCATTCCAGCATGCTCCTGGCGTATCGCATGGTGCTCGACATGTTCCGGCCAGCAAGATACAACTTGGCCGAGGTCAGCACACCATTATCGGAAGCCGCGTCTGCTCTCCACGCATGTTCGAGAAGATAGGACAATTCCAGGACTCTGGCGCTAGAATCAACAGGTATCAACACGGTACCTCCCTTGGTAACACAGGTTTTGATCATCTCGAGTAACTGTTCGTCTCGTTTGGCGCGGCCGGCAGTCTGTGCCGATTTCTGGGCACCGCGGCTGCTGCAAATGAGGGCTGTAGGCTTGCGAAGCTGTTCTATTACTTCGGCGCCGCCGCCTCCCGCCCCTCCAAGCCAGGCTGCGCCTGCAAAGACATTTTCTCGTGCCTGGTTCCAGTCCACGGCATAAACAATTGACTCCAAACCATGTTGTATATGCCAAATGGTACCTCCAAGAGTGTGTCCGGAATTGTATGCGGTGATGGTAAGCCCATTCAGCGGCGGTGAGAACGGAGACGGGAGAGGTTGGTGTGGTTGAGAATATTTGAGGGGTTGGATCAGGGAGAAGTAACGGGCAATCTGGTCGGGAGTAGGCGACTGCAACAGGAGGTTCTGCGCCGTGGCGGCTGTTTGTGTGTAGGCGTAGGCTATCTCGGATAGAGAAGTTTGGCGAATGGTGGTGGAGGCGGCGGGCGTTGAAGAATAGAGGTCTTGAATCAGAGATCGGCCAAGATCGATGACGGGTCGAGTCGCATAGGCGGGTATACGAGTAAATAATGGAAAGTTTTTGCAACAGTGAACGTAGGCAGCGAGATGGGAGGCTGTCGCATGGGTGAGGAGGATCAAGGAGAGAGTCGGCACTTGTCTGGCAAAAGGCAAAGTCTCGTTGTCAGCACGAAAGATCAGATGATCAAGAATATATTCATGACTACGTCGAACAACTCACTTTTCCAGCTCCTCTAGCTTCCCAAGGTCAAAAGTCTCGTCCCACCCGAGACCGACGAGGACTTTGACTCCCCCATCAAGCTCCAAGAGTGACTGCGACGCCGTGGACTCGGACAGCGCGCCTTGAAGCGGGCAGAAGGTGAACATGGCGGCGGCTGCGGCACAGCAATGGTGCCAGAGCTAGAGGAAATGCAGCATACAGCGGGCTTGCTTACACCAACATGCTCTGGTCTGCAAGTGCTGCTACGGCGATGTGTCGTGCGACGGTGGTCAATCGGCACGGCCAAGCACTTGGAGAGCTCTAGTCGCGCGTCGGATCGGTTGCATGGATCTGGTGCAAGCAGCTTCTCGAGTCCAAAAAAGCGATGCAGGGAGCAAAAGCCAGGCTGCTCCATAATTCGACGGCCCATTGGGTGCAGCACCGCGGTGTCTCGTCGGATCGGCTCAACTTTGTCGCGTCACGTGCCAAAGCCGAATCTGATGCTGCTGCCAAAATATTTCGCGTTAGCTGCGAACTGGCTCGTGGGGCCTCCTTTACCATACAATTTTCTTAGGTAAGCAGGTCTCCGCAAGCCGTTTCGCGGCTAAAGAGATAAGCAGTACGGGTGCGTACCTCGCAACTCACAGGGTCGCAGGTGCAACGTCTATTGCCGACTTGCCGCCAGCGCATCCACCAGCCCGCCGCGGTCCGCTGGCTACCTGGGTGGGGGAACGCAACCTTCAATTGATTGGCGCAGGGCAAGTGCGATCCGCGGCCGTTAAGGAAAGAGCCGCCTAGGGACGATTTCCGACGGCGACAGCGCCAGATCCGATGGGCAGCCAGTCTCCAAGAATCATTCGGGCACGCAACACAGTAGTCAACTCGGGAGTCTTTTCTGTTTATCATGAGCAAAGTTCCGATGGCTTGCTCGCGCTACTTGCGAACCTTGGTCTTATCAGTAAGTCATCGGAGTTGTGGGGTTCCAAGCTGCCAACCGACCCCCACTTGGTCCAACCCCGGATTCTTTCAGATTAATTGCCACCAGTAATATGTAATGGATGCTGTGTAACGTCTACATAAGCCTGGGCTTTGGGAGGGAAGAGGCAAGAGACACTTGGGCTTGCAACAAGTATATACTCATTGTTTGGACACTTGCAAAACCAACAAATATTGTCCTGAGCCGCCATACGGGCGCGTCGCATAACTGAGCCCAGGCTTCACCTCCAACATCCACAAGCACAATCACTATGAGTTTCGTTGCAAAGCCTGTCATTATCAGCGGCGCTGGGGTCGTTGGCTTGACCCTTGCTCACGGCCTCAAAAAGGTAATACCATGTTCTTTCAAGCCAGCCCGCCGATTGAGCGCTGATGGCTCTTTGTTGCTGAATTCGCTAACTGTGCCCATTTGCAGGCCAACATACCCTTTGAAGTATACGAGCGCGACGACCACATCGACGCTCGCGGTCATGGCTGGGCCATTACAATTCATTGGGCACTACCGTTCCTCGTTGAGCTACTGGACGACGCCACCCTTGAGGCAGTTGAAAACGTCCAAGTCGACCCAGAGGTTGGCCGCAACGACAACGGCAACTTTCTCTTCATCAATCTTGAAACTCTAGATTCAAAATTCCGCATTCCACCTAACAAGAGGCGCCGGGTCAACCGCGAGAAGTTGCGCAAGGCTCTCCTCCAAGGTGTCGCGGATCATGTAAGATGGGGGAAACGGTTAGACAATATTGAGCTAGCCAATGGCGAGAATGGGGGCGTTCGCGCTCACTTCACAGACGGTTC